GGGGGGGGTTCTGTCACACCCTGCTCCGTTCGATCCTAATGTGTGCCACGCCCACCTCGTTACCTCGTGTTCAGCCCTGATTGTGATCTCCTGTGTCCTATTAAGTCTAGCTTGTCTTTTGTATTTAGTCCTCGTCTGAGTCAGTCTTCCCCAGACTTGTCATTGTAGTGTCATGCGTTGGTCCTGTTTCCTCGTCTGTCAGCCTATAATAAACCCCTTCTGTCCGCATTTACGGCTCCGATTGCCTGCTTCCCGGCTCGCCTATCGTCCGATCGTGACATTTGCTATGCTATTAATATTTTTCTATGCTTCCAACTTTGTGGGAACAGTTTGGGGAAGCACATTTCTCTTCCAGTTTGGCTGTGCCCCAGTGCACAAAGAAAGGTCAATAAAGACCTTAGCTGAGTTTGGTGTGGAAGAACTAGACTGCCCTGCATAGAGCCTGACTTCAACCGCATCAAACAGCTTTTGGATAAACTACAACAGAGACTGCAAGCCCGGCTTTCATGTCCAACATCAGTGCCTGACCTCACAAATGCTCTTCTGAATGAATGGGCAAAAATTCCCATAGACAAACTGCAAAACTTGTGGAAAGCCTTTTCAGAAGAGTGGCAGCTGTTGTAGCTGCAAAGGGGAGACTAACACCAGCCTATGGACTTGGAATGGAATGTCATAAAAGACCCTGTAGGTGTAATTACCAGTCGTCCCAATATTTTTCTCCAAATAGTGTATCAATAGACACATAAACAACAGATTAAGGAATATTGTAATATTCTTGCAGTCATCATTATTTTATTCAGCTAGAAAAATATTTTATTAACTTAAAATGTTTTGTTTTTTAGTTTTGCTAAGATTAAAAGTGACTAATGATTAAATACAGTATCCATAAATTATGACGCTTTAATAGTTTAATAGTTATATAGGTGTAATAGTGTACAATAGTTGCATAGAATGATTTAATTGTTATCTTTATACATGCTAATTCAAGATTATATTGCAAAGTGACTACAGTAACCCTCGTGTACTGAACTGGGATCTGTTGTAATTCTGGTTAGCAGATTTCCTTACGTTTTCAGCTTCTCCCTCCTATAATTTCCCCTGGGGAAAGTCAGGCTATTTAAGCAACCATTATCTCAGTGAATTGGATACTATCAGCAAGCATGATAAAAATATTTTATCACTTAACTATGGTGGGTACTATGCCCTTATGTCTATTTCTTCCGAACATTTTTTTTACAAATTCTTTGATCTCGGCAGTGTTCAGAGAATATACAATAGGGTTCAGCATGGCAGGAACACCATATGAGAGTGATGTATTGATTATCCTGGCACTGGGGTTAATTGGAATATAGATACCAGCTATGTAAATGCCCAGTAACGGAATATAAAATACTGACACTAGTATTAGGTGAGAAAAACAGGTCTTTAGGGCTTTCAGACGTCCTTCCCAGGAGGCAATTTTAGACAGTGCCAGCAAAATGCTTGCATAAGATAAACTAATTACAAACATTGGTAAAAATAGATGTAATACAATGTATACCTTTGCTAATGTTATACTTGGAGTATTATCATTACATGCCAACCGGTATATAGGTCCATGGTCACAGAAATAGCTATCGATCACTGTAGATTTACAGAAGGACAGTTTGATGATGAAAATTATTCCAACAATCATGTAGGTACAATTGAATATCCATCCAACAGTGACAATAATACCCATCGATTTATTCGTCACAATGCTGTGGTATCTCAATGGAAAGCAAATTGCAACAAACCTGTCATACGCTAGAACAGTAAGCATGACAGACTGGACGGAGTTGAAGAAATATACAAAAAACATATTGGCCAAGCAAGCACCATAGGTAATTTCATGTGTATTGAATATAATATTTTGAACCACATTAGGAAAAATAGCTGTGCTCTCACCCAAGTCAGCTATAGCTAAACTAAATACTGCCATATACTTTGGGGTGTGTAGACTACGGTCTATGTAAATAATAAATGTGACCAAGGAGTTTCCCAATACAGTCACAGCGTAAACTAAACACAAAAAAAAAAAGTAATATTTGGCATGAGGCAAATTAGAAAATCCACTGATATGGAAAAAATCTGGACGCACTAAAGACTTTGCTGTATCGTTTTGGTAAATTATCCCAGACATGTTCTCTCAGCATCAATCTTCTTCAGTCCTCACAGTCCTGGGAATTAAATCTTGTTAACATTTCTGAAAATCCAATCCTCCAGTTCCAATGCAGACTGTCTGCAAAGCCACAATTGTATCCCAGGCACGAGAGAGGGTACATCCTGGGTAAATATTAACACACACACACACACACACACACACACACA